AAGCTCTTTCTTACAGCAATAAAAAGCTGTAAAGATGAAAGGAAAGAAGACAAGGAGGCAAGCTGTTGAAGCAAAGTACATTAAAAATCTTGAGGGGATACTGCCTCTTCTATGCCATTAATTTTGGATTTGTGAATGCAAAACTTACTAGGTTTTTACATCCCTTTTTTGTTCAGTAGTTAAAGAACTTTAAGTAAATCTTACTTAAAATGTACACTGTATTCCTTGAGAACATGAATAGCACAGTTCATCTTGAAAAAAAAACATTTTACTCCATCTTCCAAAATTCTACCAATCCTTCACTCATGCTACAGAGAAAATTGGAATATAGGTTGAATTGTATTCTATTCTTAATAACAATTTTAATTAAGACATTCAGCTTTAACATCACATTACATTATGAGCTTAATTTTACTAAACATCAGTACTGGTTTTATACCAATGTAACTATCATGACTTCCTTCAGAGAATCCTGGGAAATGGAGTTAGGTGAATGACAATCCTAAGAACACTTTCCTGGGAGTAAGCCCCATTGAACAGACCCAAGTAGGAGTCTGAATAGACATGCTCAGGATTGGTCTCTCTGAGATTCTCACATATCTCTTTTTGTTGTTCAGTCGCACAGTCGAGTCCAACTCTTCGCGACCCCATGAACTAGCTCCCGCCAGGCTTTCCTGTCTTCCGCCGCCCTCCGCCCTCCACATATCTCTAGCCCTTCTCATAAAATGAAATGTGGTCTTTTGCTATGCAAATATTTTGTGTGTGTTTTATTTCTGTGATTCAATGTGAGGTTTTGTATGTATATTGCTGTAGTTCAAAATTCAGGCCTCTAGAGTAAGAAAGAGGAGGGCTGGATGGGTGACTGACGTGTTATGATCAAGTGCTGTTCAGACTGAGAGAAATCTGTGTTGTTTGTGAAAGTGAATAGCCTAAGTAGCAAGTAAAGAAAATCAACCTTTGTGGCTAGGTCATTTAAGGAACTAGAGAAAGAAGATAGACCATACAGAAACCGTTACACAGTTTTACTGCTAAATAAACTCTGTTTATGTTTAAGTGAAAAAACCTGTTTTATTTAGAGTGAAGGATCCCAGTTTTACCTCAGAGCCACCCCCACACACTGACCATTCTGTCATTCTACCAAATATAACTAAGCCATCCTGTTCTTTGAGCCCAACTAAGAAGTCTAAGGCCTTTTGTGTCATCAAAAATAAGTAGGAAACACTAAGGAACACAAGAAGGCAACGTAACACACATCATCTCAGAACATTACAGAGAGGTGCAATTACAGCTGTTACAGTCTCAGAAAAGAAGCAAAACATTACATTATCATTCTCAGGAAGAAAGAATGTCTGTGAGGTAGATATGGCCTATATCAAAGGTGTCAAACTCATTTGTTATAAGGGCCGGATCTTACATAAATGGGACTTTGTCAGGCCGAGCCAATTTTGTCATAAAACGTAATACCAGGACACAGACAAACACAATTAAAGATGCAGTACAGCACTGGGCTGATGCCCCCGTATGGCCTGGAGTGGGGAGCAAACCCTTTCCCCAGCCTGCTCTCATGGTCAATACTCTGAGCCTAGGACCCAGGGGAAAATATGAAATGGCTGGGCATTGCAAGCTCCCCCCCCCCCCCCCGCCAGTCTACTCAGAGTGGCAATGATTCTCTAGGGTCTTAGGTTGAAGTCTCTCTCATAATAAGCCACAGCCTGGTCCTTTTAACTGGAGGTGCCAAGGATAACCCACCTGGCTCCTTAGTGAACACAAGGGAAAAGCCTCCACTGGGAAGCATAACATTATGGGAGCAGTGGCGCAGGCAGTAAAATGCCTGCTTTAACAACAATGAACAGCCATTACGGCTGTTTGAGACCCACCATGGCCGGGGTGAGCTCCCAGCCCTAGTCCCAGCTCCCGTCCACCCAGCGGTTCGAAAGCATGTAAAACGCAAGTAGATAAAATGGGTACCTGCCCCTAGGTGGCAGGGGGTACCCCTCCTCTTTACGAGGATGTGTGGCAGGAGCGGCGGCGGCAATGGCAGCTGCAGCGGCAGCAGAGTTGGTTCTGGCGACCCGGCATGCGGAGGCTGGACGGAGGCGGAGTTGTGGTGTGTGGTGGCATGGTTACGTGGCGCGGTGGAGCCTGCAGGATGGAACCAGAGCTGCAACCAGCACATTGCCGAGCACCGGGTGAAGCCCACCGGAAGGAGCCGCGGTTTGAGACCTGCTCCGGGCGCCAGGAAGTGAAGCGCCGAAGAGCTGCCAGGGACTGAACAACAAGCCAAGCCAGGAACTAAGTAACAACTGAGCCCACGGCTGGGGTGCTGGTAGGTTATCACCCCCCATACAAATAATGTGGCCCTAGTTAGGGATAAACAGCTGTGTAAACCGCTCAAAGACCCTTCGGGGTCAGAGCGGTATATAAATCGAAAATTAAATAAATTAAATAAATAAACATTTACAACCAAGCCCCCTCCCCCTAAGCCAGCAAACCTCAGCAAATAAACAACTCTAGCAGATCCACGTGGGTACAGGAGAAGCCAGCGAAGACCAGGGAAGTTCCACAGCCCCGCCCTCTGCACTCAGAGGCAGCTTGGAAGGGTGAGGACAGGCAGATGCAGGGGCAGGGAGGGGGAGAGAAGAGAGTCACAGGCTGTATTAAAGCCCTGGCTGGGCCGGTTCTGGCCCAAGAGCCAGATGTTTGATGCCCACGGCTTATATTTCATTATTCAGAAATTAATCTTACTAGATGCTGATCAACAAAAAGGGTAACAAAACAGGCCAAAAAAAGGTTTCCATTGTAGTCTGTTACAACTACGAGGCCCAGTGCACCAAGCCAACTTGTAAGGTTTCTTTTCCCTTTACAAATGCCCCCCTGTACTACAGTCCTAATCCAAACTGCCTCCCTCCACAAATGCTTTTAAAAGCTATGCATTGGGAGAACTAATCCTTGCATAGTTTGAAACTCAACGGGATGGTCTGAACCGAGGAATTAGATTAATTTCTTGCCAGGGGCAAAGATAATCGGTAAGCACATTGGGAAAACAAAGCTATGGCCTTCCTGCCTTTCTAAATAGTTAGGACTGATCAGAAATTACAAGAAAGCTTTATACTACCAAAATGGGAGAATAATTTTGGGTGACATACTAGGAAAGGAACCAATAGAAGACTAATTGGATGGTATTAACTACAAGGTAAAAAACAAAAAAAGAAATGGAAAACCTTAGCACAAACAGCTTTAATTCAAACTGCCTCAATATGTACACTTAATTAAATCCACCAACATGGATAATGGTACACTCACAGTTCCTGCAGTGCCTCTGCATGTGTTACTATCCTATTAGCTTTATGAGAAAAGGAATTCAGATACCATATTAATAACCCAGCCTTTACTTCTTGTTCTGAAAGTTAATGCATACCTCACTCCAAAATAAATTTTACCACTTAAAACATTAATGAAAACATGCCTTTAGGTCTAGGCCATGCTAGCAGTCAGAATATGACTGCTTAAATATGAAACTATGTTAAAAATTCCAGAAGAAAGTAAGGTGAAGTAGCTCAGTAATGATTACAGTTCTATATTCCTTTGAAATTCAGGAACATGTAAGGTAAAATCACTTTTCAATTCACATAAAGTCATTACTTTTTGCATAGGATTGTATAATTACAAATTCGTAAGTGTTCATCTTTTTAAAGTAGTGATACAAGCAGTGTTTTGGAATTCACACTGAACTCATAGAAAGAGGAAGCATGATTACACAAATATGCGATTAATACGATTGCAGGTTCAAGGAGGGTAGAGGGAAAGGTGTTAGAAGGAATAAACACACACACAACCATCCTTTGGTAAAATATATGGCCGCAGCTTATTTTATTGCATACAGGCAAGGAGCAATGGCGCAGCATGGGGATGGATCCAAAGATCAGGCAACCCGCCTGCCGCCTGATGGAACCCCTACCCAGCCTGTCCGCTGGGAGACCAACTGCAGAGTGACAAGATCCTGGGACACATAGGGGCGCCAGCCTCTACATGGTCCCCTTGCCACCTGGTGGTGGAAGCCAGCCAACAGCCCCCGCCTGGCATGTGGCTGAGTGGCTCCACCTCCCAAGGCCCCTTATAGGAGCCCACAAATTGGGAGAGGCAGGCACGCAGGCACGGCCTCCCCCCAAAAGGATCCATCCCAATGCCCAAATCGCTAAGCTGTGACAGCAAAGAACAAACCAGAGAAACACCGTAATACAACCAAATCGAGGGTGGGTGGGTGGGCAAGCTGGCAATCTGGGGAGAAGAAGAGGACAGCCTGCATGGGATTGTTTAAATAGCCCACCTTGGATTTGCAGTCCGCCCCATGCTCAGACACAACACCTGACGTGGCAAGCTGTGGGCAAACTGGCCCGCCCCCTCCTTGCATCACTGGGGGCACCATGCAGCCAGAGGATGCCTTCCTACCCCCTACCCCTCCTCCTGCACTGCAAACGCCGGTGGAAGGTGAGCCACAGCCGTGCTTTCTGAACAGAATCACTAATCATTACAGATGCATCAGATGCTTCTGCATTCATCCTTTTTCATTCTACTGTCTCAGGCTACCATAATAACACCATGACTTAGTTCAGACATAATGGCAAACCATGGTTCAGGTTTAACTGAATAAACTTTGGACTGGCACATACTTTCCTTTCCTCAAGTACTTCAATTCCTGTTCTTCCTGGCTTGTGGAAAACCACAGTTTGAATCAAAACAATGGTTTGCATTAAAAAAAGCAAACCATAAAAACATACTTTGCATAAGTTGTCTACAAAAAAGAATTGGGAACAAACTGCAAGCCCAGGGCTCATTCACATAGCTTAACATCGAGACTATGCAATGATTGGTTCACATATAAAAACATACACTTTCTAAATCATGATTAAAACACATATTAATTATATATAGCATTGACTTAAAATTATTCAAATGTCCCAAATGAAATTTCTCTTTAAATAACCTACCTATCTTGATACGTTGTAATAGCAATGCTGGGAAGAGTCAGCAGAGGCAAAGTTGTGGGTCTGGAAATGTTATCCCTGTCTGGTGTTCTTGCTCTTTCGCTCTGCCTTTGGGACAGTGGTGGCAGCTGTAAATTACCAGAGCAGCATCTTCTTCCTCTCCACAGGTCTATGCCAAGGGTATTACTAGACGCACTGTAAGACTTGCTGAGGCCACATTCTATATAATCTTTTGTATTCTGTACAAAAGGATAACATTGTTAGCTATGCAAGTATATCATTCCATACCACAAAATTAGAATAGCGAAACAGGTCCAATGAAAAAGTAGACTATTCTGAAAATCATACCTTTCCATATATTTCCTATTTTGTTTCGATTGTTTTCATACATCTTAGAAAGACATGTGATTAAATTCAGGATAGTTAATTGCATTCTCACTGCAATTTTTACAAAAGGTTAGAAGTGAGTGAAAATGGGAAATGCAGATTACATTGGCACGATCCAGTGAGCACTTTTATGAGTCTTTGCTCTCAATGGAATAAGTTCTTTTCTGCTGAAATCAATGGGATATGAAAATGTTTAACTGCGTTGGTATCATGCCCAATGATACATGCTAATAAACTGTAAGGTTTATTCAACTCCTCCAACCTATAAAGATCAGTTTCCTACCAATCCAGCTTTAATGTGAAGTTCAATAAACAAAAGTGAGGGAAAAGCACTTTTTTTTTGCCATACATGAAAATTCTAACAAATTTACTTTTAGTTTAAGACCAGGGGACCAGATAATGACTGGATTTGGTTGCCCACTACTAACGAGCTATAAAATCCAATCCCACCACAATATTACTTGTCTAGAAGAATTAAGTACCAAAGTGAAGAAAACTGACAAATTTTCCAAGGACAAGGAACTCTCTGGCACATTAATGCCTTCTGGTGGCAAGAATTTAAAGAGCAGAATCCATTTTTTTAGACACAGAATACCTATTTACATTGGAGTAAGGTCCATTTTTTAGGTAAAATTTCTCCATATGCCATATGCCCCATCCTTTTTTTTCTTCTCAAAATTAAATATACTCACCAAATATTTTTGATCCATAAACTGGAAGAGGTGTTTGGTAAACTGACTTCCACGAGCTGACAGCTTTTTACAACATAGACATCTTAGAGCTGAATAATCTTCTGTTATAGAGCATCAACAGTAGGATATACAGTCATGTATACACTTGTGCTGTTGAAATTGCTCCATGAATGCACATTTTTCACTTAGGAGAGCTCATAAGCAATTGCAGCCCTCAAAGTAAAAATGATTCTCTTAGATGTGCACATTCAAACATTACTTCATGCAAACAATCATTTCTTCACTTCTCTCCCACAAAGTCATCAAAAGCCAGGTGGTACACACTTCTGTCATTAGAATGCACTGGCATTGCTTGAAGGTAATTGTTCTGCTGCAGCATGAATGTGTGACTGCTTTTTTTTTTTGCAAACAGCTTATTGTAAATACCTGCATTAGTCTGAGAATCAAACAAGTCATGCATCTTGCCTGAAACTGAAGGTAAAACAAGGTTTACACTTACGCCCTCAGCTGTGACAGTCATCACACTTCTGCTTTTCTTCATGGTTGCAACGAAAAAATCCTTCTTTTTTATATCAAGCAGTTCTTCTTGGTTACACTTCTACCAAACTAATAGATCTATCAAAAGGGGAAGAAAATGAATATTATTAACTCTTACAGATACCACAGAAATGTTTATGTAGTGACTTAAAACTTGTTTGAAAGCCCATTTCCTTACTGTAATTTGAATTTGATTAATACATGCTATATAAAAATGAATATTGCCTAACAACGTGATTTGTTTCAGAGAAAACATATTTAGCATTGCAGTTTTGCCATGAAATATACTTTATTTTCTTTCTGAAATCTCTTTACATCTCTGTTAAGCTTGCCCACCCAGATATATACTTTGCCCCTTCTGTGCCTCCCTGAATTGTTTTCTGGTGCCACCACTGTGTACTAGTATAATTGGATATGGATTGAAATAAATTCTATATATGAACTAAAGCATGGAAGTAACAAAGTACTCTCCATAACATCATAAATACTTAAAATCTCTTCAACAAGTATATTGGTGTACAGAGCTACTAAATATGATTAATCTAAGCCCAGTTACTACACAAATGGCCAACAGACATTTAAACTGCAGATATCTCCTGCTCCAGGTCTCCTGCTCCCTCCTGCTGGTAGCCCTCATTGCTCATTACTACTCAGAACACCAATGGGAGAAAAATAAACAAAAACTCATTGGCCTTGTGTGTGTTGTGTGAAACTATAGAGTTTCCAGTGACTTCTTAGAACTACCCAGGTTCTTCCAGAGGTGATGTCATGGCACACACAACATTGTGTCCCAGGGTCCCCATCCCTAAAGCTCCTGCCAGTTGTTAAGCACATAACAATATCCAAGGACCACGGTGTGGGTGATTAGACTAACTGAAGCACCATGTATAATTCTGTTTGAATGGTGAGTTTTGCAATTGTGGCATTATATTATTTGAATATATGCACTGGTAATGGCATATTATTGCATGTAAACAACCATCTAAATCAGGGGTGTCGAACTCATTTGTTATGAGGGCCGGATCTGACATAAATGAGACCTTGTTGGCCCGGGCCATGTGTGTCATAAATAGTAATGCCAGGTAGCAGAGATATAAACTTTATAAAGGACACAAACACAAATGTGTTTTTTTTACTTAAAATAAAAACATGTTTAAAACATTAGCACTCTTGCAATATTTTGTTTATTTAACAGTGTTCAGGTGTGTATCTGTAAACTGCAAATCTACAATGACGCAGCAGCAGCAGAACTGGAAGAAGAAGCAGAAGACAGCCAGTTCCACTGTAGACCTGATAGAAGCCCTCTGGGGGCCTGATCCGGCCCCCAGTCTGCATGTTTGACACCCCCGATCTAAATTCTTGAAGTTTAAACAGTCTTTATTGTAATAGTATCTCATAAACATAGTATATAGCATTATATATGGTGCTTCAGTTACTTAATTGTTGGGCACAGTGTGGCACCCTATTTGCATATGAGATATCCAGATGTACTTCAAGAACTGCACACTCTTCCGTCTGGCTCTGCCTACCCACTCAAGGAAGCACCATGGTTTTTCCTCCATTCCTTGGTTCCATTTCTGATGCTAGTGCATTTACAAAAAAAAATTGCTTGGTTTTCTTCCCCTCCTCTACACTAGTAAGGCAAGCAGCAGCAGCAACAACAACAAAAAAAAAACCTCCACACTGACTGGCTTTTGAACTCTTCAGGAGAAAAGCATTAATTAATATTAATTCTGGGGGGAGAGGAACATACCTGGAGTTCTCCCAGGTAAGTGTGAATAGGATTGCACCCTACGGTGCAATACTATGCATGGTCCCTCAGAAGTAAATCCCACTGCAGCCTTACAATGCAATCCTATGTACACTCACCTGGAAGTATGCACCGTTGAATACTGATGGACACCCTTTTGGGTAGACATGCATAAGATTGTGCTGCAAGACACTTCAGGAGCCTCATATTGGGCTGGAAAGTAGACTTTATCAAGGAGGCTCTATAATATTTGCCCCCTAGGGCTCATTTGTACACCTCCTGCTGATAAATGCACCTGGTAAAGGTTTGATCTCTATATGCTATTGCTAATAAAAGTGTGAAAGCATGGATTATAAAAGAGCTGCTGAGGTAAGGAATGTGGAAAAGATCCATTTCCAAAAGTGTGTTCATAGGATCCAGTCACATATATCCATACGACTAGACAAACATGTTATAAATCTATGAAGATGTAAAGTGTATGTTGTATGTAGACCTGAAGAAGATAGAACTTGAAAACCACATTCAACTTTCACCAGTACTACTAAAAATAAATGTGTTTAGAAAGGCAACAGAAGTAAAGGATGGAAAGTCAGTATTACTCATAGCATTTAACTACGGTTGCCAAATTCCCACTGGGGTGGGGGACCACTGCTCCCAGTTCCTGATTCATGCCACTACTCCTGTGCCCAGAGAGAGTAAAACAATCTACAAAAAAAATCACTGCTCCAGGACAGTATGACATCATTTCTGGGGAAAACCAGAAAGTGATGTCCATACACTTCAGGAATTGCTGGAAGACTCTTATGGCATGATGTCACATCTGGGTTTATGTCATGCCTTTGCAGATGGTGCCCCCATGCCCCCACGCCCCCACCCTGTGCCTTGCAATCCTATGTTTAACTGTACAAACAAAACCAAATTTTGTAGGGTTGCCAACTCCAGTCTGGAAAATTCCTAGAGATTTGGGGGGTAGAATATTGGGAAGAGATGGAGCTCAGCAGGGATGAGTCCACACTGCTGCAGTTTCCTACAGGGGAACTGATCTCTAGTCTAGAGATTAGTTGAAATTCTGGAAGCTTTCCAGACCCTACCCGGTTGATAACTCTGTCTGAAAGGCAGGAGGGCTTTCAACCCCTTCTGCTTCTCTGGTGAACACATATAATATTTCTCAACATTTTCAAAATGTGTCTTACTTCTGCAGCTTAGGGTTGCCAGCCCACACGTTCAGGTGGGGATTCCCCCACTCTTGGGGGCTATCTTGGAGGTTGGGGGCTATCCAGTGTTTTGCACAGAGTGTCACATGTATGACTATCTGCCCACTGGACAGAAGTCTTGAGTGTGTGCCCAGTGCAAGGAGCTCCTGGTTCTCAGGGAACCAGTTTGCTCCCTTGAGGCCAAGGTGGCTGACCTGGAGAAGCAGAGACAGTCAGTTAGGTGCATGGAGAAGACTCTCAGGGACTTGTTAGATATGTCCCACTCTCAATATGGCAGCCCTGCCAGTGTCAGGGAGCATGAGGGTTGAGAGGAAACAGGGCACCGTGTTGCGGATAAGGGGAATGTGCCCTCAGAAGGGACCTCTTCTTCAGCTGGTGAGCGGGTATCCTTTCGCACCAAGTAACCATCCCTTGGCAGGGAGGGAGAGGGGCTCTTGGTAGTTGGTGATTTGATCCTTAGGCAGGTAGACAGCTGGTAGCCAGGCACTGATTTAGGAGAACTATAGCATCATCCATCATTTTGAACAAAGAAATATAGAGAGGGAAGTCATTAGTATACTGCCATCAGTATATTTATGACACTCAGTTCCAAAACTACAAATGATATCCTGTAGGGTTTTTGCATAAAGATTAAAGAGCATGGGAAATAAAACTGAGCTTTGTTGGACCACACAGGACAAATCCCACAATAATGGCAGGTGGTCTCTGAGCTGGATCTCTAGGGACCAATTTAAACCAATCCAAAGCACATCCCTTGATACCTACTTCTACCTTCAATCACCTCAAGAAAATGGTATGGTCCACTGCATAAAAGGCCACTGATAAATCCAACAACCTGTCTACATTCAATTGGAGATCATCAACTAAAGCCACCCATGCCATGTCCATCCCATAATTTGGCTTGAAGCCAGCCTGAAGGAGTTTGATATATTTTACCTATTTTTTCATTGTTTCCTCCACACTTTTACTGATGACTGTTAAATACAAATTCTTTAAATAAACAAACTAGACTCTCATAAGACAGAAAAGAAACAGAAATATAGAGCTGGATGGTGCCTCAAGGCACCAACAATCCACCATCTAATCCAACCCCCTGACTCCAAAGTGGTGATTGGCATTACACTAGGCATGTAAGAAAGGGCCACAAGAGCCAATCACTGGTTCATCCCTTCCTGCCCTTCCTCTCATGATCTGCTTAAATTCACAGAATCAGCATTGATGTCAGATGGCCATCTAGTTTCTGCTTTAAAACCTCCAAAGAAGGAGAGCCCACCACCTCCTGAGGAAGCCTGTTCCACTGAGGAACCGCTCAAATGTCAGGGAGTTCTTCCTTAGGTTAGCAACAAACTCCAGGCACAAAAATTATTTAAAGGGTCTGTATCTTTTTCATGTTATCAAGTTGCTTTACAGCCCAGCTCCTATTCTGCAGGACCAAAACACTATGCTAACATGTTCTTCCCCTTTAGTAGCCCATGTTTCCCCAAGCCCACATCCCAATCAGTATTACAGTTCACTGGAAATTCAACATATACTTTATTTGTGCTCTTGGTTTAGGACTGTTTCAGATGGAATTGGAGCCTAGAGAAGACATGTGTGAAGATAAGGACAGAGAGCCAGTGTGGTGTAGTGGTTAAGCGTATGGACTCTAATCTGGGAGAACCGGGTTTGATTCCTCACTCCTCCACTCGCAGCTGCTGGATGACCTTGGCCAAGCCATAGTTCTGTCAGAGCTGTTCTCTCGACAGTTCTGGAAAGCACTCTCTCAGCCCCACCTACCTCACAGGGTGTCTGTTGTGGGGAGGGAAAGGGAAAGGAGTTTGTAAGCTATTCTGAGACTCCGAGTGAAGGGCAGGGTATAAATCCAATCTCTTCTTCTTCTCTAGTTCTTTACCACCCTCTTCCTAACCTGAGCAACACCCTGAGATCTCTAGAACGTTAAAGAAAAGGTGGTGAGAACTGTATGAAGATTTGCCATGGGGTCCAGGAGACTGCACTAAGGAGGGCAGCCAAGTGGCACCACTCCTGATCAGTGGAATTACT